AAAAGCTTGCACCGCCAAATTGAGGCATAGCCCGATATCCATGACTATGGTTTCCAGGGTCACTAAAGGCAGTGTGCTCATGGTTATGACTAAAACTTGTGTTTGTTGCATAAGCGAGGTGTGCGGAAGTCGCCGGTTTTGACGAAATTGGTACAGGAGCAAAGGCTAGCAAACCTGGCGCACTAGCAACTTCAGGAGGTGCTTGTGAACTAACAGAGTCTACTCAATCATTAGTTCGATCGGTTGCTACTTTTGAAATAGGTTGACTTACTCCTGTCGAGTTACTTTCCGCTACCTTCTCGCTAACCTCAGATGAACTGTCCTCAAGTTCAAACGCTTTCAGTTCCATTTCAATTAATTGCTTTTTATGACTTTCAGCCAATTGCTTTAGTTCAAGCTGACTTTGTTCGAACTTGAGACAGTTCTCTTGCTCTTTAAGTCTTAAAGATACTTGATACTATCTTTCCAGCTGCTCATGGCGTCGATTTACCAAAGCTAATTCATGCCGTTTCTCACTTGATGACATAGTGTGAACAGTCGAGGTATGACGAGTGGAAGCAGATTTATCAGACTCATGTGACTCACGTTTTCTATTTTCCTTAGATTTATTAGAGACCTTAGACCTGTTTTCAGATACTCGTGCCTCCGAATCTCTTGTTTTGTGCAATCGTGAGGATGTCTCAGACCTAGTTTGTTGTAAAGATCCCTTGCTCCCTGTAATGCCGGCTGCTGGAAATGACGAAGTTTCAAGGCTCATCTTGTAACTCTGAGCTTCATGCATTACTTCATCGTTCATTTCGGTTACTTTTTCAAGCCAAAAGTCTTGCTGAGCAATAATTTTTTCAGGGTTTTCCATTTTTCCCGCTAACCTAATTAATTGCTCATTGAAGTCGACAGCTTTTTCCAACGCAATTTTACATATGTAAACAGCATTGTCAATTTTTGTGTTGCGACTATTATTCTCAATGTACTCAAGTAAAAATGAATGACCTTTAAGCGGCTCATTTTCTAAATTTAGACGGGTTTCAAATAACTTGCGTATTTTACTTTTGAATTTTTCGTCCATGTTTTTCACAAATTGACAATATTCTACGGATGCTCACTTATAGAAAACAATCAATAAAATGAGATACTGTTTTGGTACGTAATTAAATTTGCATTAATAAATCAACATTAGCTTACAAGATGGGGGAACTTGACGTCTCAAAGCTTCTGCCTGAAGCCTATTTTTTTTAGCTTTCCGAGCTTTGAGGGGTAAGCGGTTCCGCTTCTTACGTGTCTTAGGGATGATAAGATTAGCGCTATAACGCCTTAGAAGGAGGAGAGTCTTTAACTCAAGGGAAGGAGGCTGGTGAAGCTCTTTGTACTTCTCAATTAGTACCTGGGCCTTAGCGTTACGCTTAGAGATAAAGTCTTTAACGACGTTCAGAACGAGAATACCTGTTGAACCTAAACTTTCCTCTATATCCTCGGTTCCGTTTGGTCTACAGTATACGATCGCACAAATGTTTGTCCTATACCTTAATAACAAATTGACAAGTTGCTCACTAATCAACTTGCGGTTATTGTTACTGCGGTACCTACTTATCGAGTTATTAATGGCGTCGTTCCAAATTAGAAGGTCGTAACGGTGAGACAAGTAGTGATGAAGGTAGTACTGTATTGTTTTCTGGGAGTCCCTAGCGTTAAAGTTCAAACTTAAACCTGGCTTCGTAAAGCAAGTATCTTTGACGCGCTTTTGGGACGGAGCGGGAAGTTTTCGGAGCGCGTGATCCAAGAAACTAGCTCTTCGAATGAATACAATATACTTAGCGGACCTATGCGACGGCTTCGTTACGCTAGAGTACCAATGGGGTTGGAAAATTAAGTAGGTCGGTTGAACTCCAACAACACACACGGAGTAAACCTGGGGATGAAAGAATTCAACTTAACTCACTTAATATCACCGTAATTGACCACTTAACAATACTGTCACGCAACGAAGTCAATAATCGGACGGGCAGAAACGGCTTTGATTTACTTGAAGCGAACTGGCTTTCAGTTTCACCAATGGTGGGCGTGGGATCAGGCAAATTGGTTAAGTTCCAACAACACACGCGGAAAAAACCTGAGGATGAAAAAACTCAACCTAATTTGCCTGATATTTTGCTACCACACCACTTACCATAAAGTTGGTGTCATGTTACAGCATAGTTTCGAGAATTCTGGGGACGTTTTGAGGATTTTTTGGACTTTTTTCACAAAATTTTCGGAAAATTTTGGTCAGCAGGTTCGAGTCATAAACCAATCCAAAAAACTAGTCCAGTACTTCTTGTCTATGCACCGATTTCACGGATTATTATTCCGTTCACATATATCCAAAAAATTTTGGTATCGAGAAAAAATGTCAAGTCAGTTCGTCTATGTACCGACTGTAAGATATTTCAGTTCAACGGAACTGTCCAAAAATTTTGGGTATTGAGAAAAATTACCGGGTGCTAGCTTGCGGGAAAAATTCTAGCATATAGTACATCGTATATAAAACTATAGCACAAATGGAAAGTTTTAAAAGTTTTGGAAACTTCTTACAATTTTAATTGGAGATTGGCGTCACGGGGAAAAAAATTCAAAAATTTCGGGTGTCGAGAAAAACACAGCTGCACTTGAGCCAAAAGTCAACAAACCGGACACCTGAACAGGCCTCTCTTCCGCCAGTCTGTTCTTTCGTCTGTCTGATTTGTCGTCTGTCGGCTTACAGACAACTTTCGGCTATTTGGACACTCGACCAACTGGACACTCGGCCAACTGGACAATCGGCCAACTGGATAATCGGGGATCGACCAACTAGACACTCGGCCAACTGGACAATCGGCCAACTAGACACTCTGTTTCGGTCTTCGGTCCTTTGTGCAAATGCGTAAATAACTGTCCGATAAGTCCTGAATAATTGTGTTGACCGACTTCGTGAAAAATAGACTTCGGTGTCACTCGTTAATAGAACAATCGGACCCTTTTGTGGCGCCAAAATGTGCGCTCAATCTCTGAAAAAACTGTATTAAACAAATTTAATTATGGGTATTTTTCAGTAAACACATCACACATAACAAGAAATAAGCAACTGTTAACGGTTTGCATAAAAAAAGATCATAAAATCAACTTCCAATTTTTTCGGTACAACTCGTTTTTTAAGATCATTTGGCGCAAGCTAGCCACAAGAACCGGTCGGTGTGCTTTTTTTATATGCACTGTGCTTATTTTATATGCACTGTGCTTATTTTATATGCACTGTGCTTATTTTATATGCATAATATTCTTGTTTTATATGCATCTATACTCTACATTTGCATTGCAACAGATATTCAGATACAAATCTAGAGCATCAACCCTGGTAAACCGCATTCCTCGATGAGTCAATGGTCGCCCAAACTAATTTTTTAAATTAAAATTCGATTTTCTTCTTTTTTCGATACTCATAAACCTCAGTCGGTCAATTGATTGCGTACTACGAGCACATCAACCATCTACTTGCGTTTGCTGACGTTTTTTTGTAGCGGTTTACCGCTTTTGCTTTGGGGAGATACCTCAATTGGTTATTACAGGGAAAGGGGGGAAGATTGCTCAATTGATCCGAAAAAGCTGTTCAAAAATTGTTGACATGGCATTTTACATGAAAAAAATGTTATAAAAGATTTTGCAATTGTTCACGCTGACACGTTCACACTGACAAGTTTTAAAAGTTTCTAGCATGAAAAGTCATTTGAAAAAGACTTTCGTGAATTTCAGAAAAAAAAACTCAAAGGGAACTGAAAAGACCCCATGAACAACTTGTCTAGAAGTATGGGCTCGCCGTTTTTGATGAGTCCCCCAGACTTTTAGGAATAAGCAATATCTAAAGTAAATTAGAAGGATGAAACCAAAAAAATGGGTAAACATTTCTTGTTAGTTTTCTTTAAAGCGCAGAAACTGAAAAAACCAATTTACTGAAAAAATATAGAAACTACCTTAAAAAGTTTTTCTTTCTGACTTATAGGGGTGTTCAAGAGTGCCAAAATACGTCAGTGCCAAAACTGAAAAAGTTTTCAACAGGCTCAGAAGCTTTGGGAATTTTGAGTTGCTTTTGCGATTGTTGGCAGTTTTGCGTGATTACTGTTTTGCTTTGTAGGCTCTTTTCCAGTCCCCCCCTTTGATTTTTTCTGAAATCCGTTAAATGAAAGTCGATTTAAAATGACTTTTGATGTTATAAACTCCTTTAAAACGTGTCAGCGTGAACAAGTGAACAAATTTCTGCAACATTTCTAACATGCAAATTGCCTTGTGAACATCTTTATTTTGTAATTTTACGAGGGGGGTGGGAAACTGGAAAAGAGCCGCTTTGTAGCAAAACTGAGAAAAAATTTTGACAATTTGCCGAGAAAAATTGTGGGGGGATTTTTTCATGCTTAGGGAGCTTTTTCACGAAAGAATTTTTAGTGACTCCTTAGAGTTTAGTGACGCAAAATAAACAAAACTGCTCGTATAAGGGCAAAGCCTTGATTGTTCCGGCTGCATTTCAAGGTATTTAGGAGTTCGTTCTTAGAAAATGGGAGACAAAAAAATGTTGAATTTCAAAAAAAATCAAAGAAGGAACTGGAAAAGAGCCCATCAAGAATTGTACCTATAAATCAATTTACTGTTCATTACTGACTTCGGTTTTATGCACTGTTGTACCGCCCGCTTGACTTACATATGGGACCATTTGAGTTTTTAGAAACTATTTTACTAAACGGAACTTTTAAAGGGCCCATACTTCCAACTATTGCCCAATATTTCAGCTAAAATCAGTGTAGTCCAAAAATGAGGTGGGAATCAAAATCAGTGTAGGAAAATTCAAAATGAAACAACAGTAATATTTTAAAACAATTGTTTTGCCCTTTACAGCCTGTTCAATTTTTATTGTGTAGGGGCCATAGACAGAATGAACCAAATACTCCTCAAGCGGTGGGTTTTTCAAAAGTAGAGTAAATAATACATTTTTATCTTACCTAGGTTCTTGGGATATGTGATGACGAAGCATAGTATTCTCACTTGACGCCACTTTTCGTCTTTTCTGACTTGGGAGGTGTATTTTGCAGAGATGAAATTCTTTAAGTAGAGAAACTTGTTTGGGATTCCGATTGAGTTTGTCCGGGATAAAGACTGATTGGAATTTTGGGTTAGATTGAAGGTAGTTAGTACAAATGCTAATACAAATAAAAACAAAAATATCACAAACACTTTAATGTTCTTTTTTCTGATTGCTCCACTTGGAAAAAACGAAGGTATGTTTTGACACATTTTTTTTCTATTCCATTTATTATATTTCTGGTAAGATTCAATGATAAAGCCACAGCCAGAAGTAAACAAGTTACTCTTTAAATTAACGCACGTGGTTTTTCAGCGAATATGAACATTAAGTTGATCACGCGAAAATTTGTATCATTTCCGGTTACAGAAATTCAAAAAAAAAATGATGGCTGAGGATGTCATAAAATGGCTTACATTCCATAGGTGTTTGAGTTGATTCGAATCGCTATAACTTCTGTGTACATTTTTAAAGGCTGTGGTTTTGAATTTTGTTCTACCATTATTCTTAATTAAAAAAAGCAGCGTGGAGACAGCGAGTTTCAATTCAGCAGCATATCTTCACATACCAAAATACCTCATACCTCCGCACCAAACATCACATACCTCGGCGCCTTCTCATACCAAAATCTGAGCCTAATGGGGGTTTTTCGTTCAGACTAGTTAGACAATAAACGGAAGTGTATAGAAGCCTGCATAGATCGACATATTCTTTCACTCAACTGTGACATCAGTTGGTCGAGTACTGGCAACCGATGTCAATTTTCTTTCAATTGGCGCCACTAGTCATCAAATATGGCTCGACAATGACTTAGGTTTTTGAATTGCCAGTACATTCAAAATTCACTGGGGCAGTCGAAACAATTCATTAAATCCACTTCTCACGCCTAATTGGTACATGTTAATTTTTTGCTTCTTTACTAGGCTCATGGATATTTTTGTTATAAATCTGCAAATTATCTATAAAAGGTATTGTCTGCTGAAGCAATTCGATGGTGATCTTCTATAGAGTACAAGACTGCTCGTATCAGGGCGAAGCCCTGAATGTTCCGACTGCCTTTTAATGTTTAATAAAATGTAATAAAAATGAAAAAAAAATTCCAAAATTTGAAATTTTTTATGAAAATCATCCCCCCACACGCCATATAAAGTACAAAAGGATAGATTTCGCTACTTGTAACAAATCAATTATGGCAAATAAGCTTCTTCCAACTAATTTGGAACGATTTCTAAGACGGATTAAATCTCCGCTGACGCGTTAATAGCGCGAATTATATCGCGCGTTAATTTTTATTGGGAGCAGTGGTGAAGTGGTTACGTCTCCGCCTCTCAATCGAAAGGTCGGATGTTCGAGGCCCACCATGATCCGTGCTCGTTGCTTGAGGGTGAGGCAACATTACCCAGCCCAGAAAAATAACCAAAAAAAATTGCATGTAGTTCTTAAGCAGGGGCACAACAGCGGCTCGCCGTGATGAGCTGTACAGCTCGTATGTTGGTCCTATCCCTCGTGGATAAATGATCTTAAAATTGTCCTAAATTGGTCAAAATGGCAATCTTTAAACCCCCATAACTTCAAGAAAAATGATCACAGGTGAAATATCTTTTCAAATATAAGCTCAGGACAACAATAGTTTTCGAAAAAAATTTCGTCAAAAATGGCTAGTTGAAAAGTCGAAATTTGTCTGAAGAAAAAAAACCCACCCCGAGCACAAATATTCCGTTACTTTCGTATCGAAAGTCGGAACAATTACTTTCGTATCAAAAGTCGGAACAAAAATGACCAAGGACACACATGGAACCAAAATTGGGCTCATTTCCAGTGCTTCTTGATATTTTCGGAAAATCAAATTATGAAATCGTTTCTAAAATGGAACTTTTGATAACCTGAACTGAAATAAAAATTGTCAGCGTATAAAATAACTGAAAAAATTTCTAGAACTGTTCTCTAAACTGGCGGGAGGATGGGAAGTTTTGATTATACCTCCCCCCTCCCCCTTAATGGTTAAAACATAAAATGAACTTTTTTTACAACAAAATTAGGTTGATTTTAAAAGAAAGGGCTCTTTTTCCTTTTGCCCCCACCTGCAAATTTTTACATGTAAATTTGTTGGCCACATTGTCCGATTATTATGAAAATTTACATACAGACTAATAAGGCCACAAAAAACATATTTGGTCTTCATGCTCAACCTCGTAAAACCACTCGTTACACAAATAAGTTGAAACTGGCGTGAGGTGGGGGCGAAAAAGAAAAAGAGCCAAAGAAAGCAAAATGGTAAGATACGACTGGTAAAAAAACTAACAATTCTTTAAATATAGCTTTACACTGGCTCATTTCTCTAATTTTTTTGCGGTTATCTCCGTAAAAGTTTCATAAATAGGTACAACTGCACTTTTTAAATGTCATTCAATTCCTATTTTGTGCTTATTTCCAAAAACGTGGTATTACGATGAAAGTAAAGGAGAACAAATGTGTTCTCAATAGTTAGTTTGTTCGCCATGCAAATTTTCATTATAATAGGACAACGTAAAATTAGTGTTTATAAGCTAAAACTCAAATGTTGGCGGATGGGAAAAAACCGAAGCTCATCCCACCGGCCATGAGCCTCATAATTATATTCTAACGCGTTTTTTTACGAGGTTAAGTGCGAAGACTAAAATATGTTTTTCATGGCCCTATTAGTCCGCATTTCAATTTTTACACGGCTCGTTTCCATACTCAAAATCAATTTTCCCAAAAATGACGGGAGTTCAGCTCAATTAAGGGCGAAGAGAAAGGAAAAGCGAATAGAAGCTAGGGGTATATCCGTCTCGCAATCAAGCGGCTCGTGGATCACTCTACTATACTAGTTTCTGTTCCATATCCCGACTTTCTCCCCAATCAGCTGGACAGCGTCGTAGAAGTTTTAAGCAAGATTGGGCAAAATTTTTAGGCCGCTGACCTGTGTTTTTTTTTAAATTTGTTTGTGGCGTAAAGTTTTTTGGTCAACGTATGCTTTTTATAGTGTCCTCGGAAAATCAATTTCTCTTACCTAAAAAAGGTCGACAAAATTACGAAAAGCTTTTGAAAGTCCGCCCCCCCCCCCCCCCCTCGCAAATTGGCCTAAAAACAAGCTAACCTAAAGCAGTTCTTATGAGGCAAAGCTATTGATAACAACATCGGGACATGCTTGATATCACAGAAGTTTATCTTGCTTATCTTGTTTGTAAAACAAATAAAACTTCATACCGTAAGTTTTTGATACCATTAACTGCACTCGCCTATGAATATTTGTTATATGAAGCTTTACTTAATACGAAAAATTGTTCCGACGAAATAATGTGAAGAAATTGTTTATCTCAGGTCGTTTTGTTTTTGAAAATCTCTCGAAAAAAACTTGACGTGATTGGTTTTAGGATTGCACGGGTAACACTCCGAGAATCAAACTTTTTCACGTAGAGTTGTGTTTGCGTTTTTTTCGTCTTGTTTCCTATGTAGGGTTTCTCTCTCAACCCTTCAGCCCATGTTCTGCTACGGTGGTGACTTTTGTAGCAGGAGTGAGTGCTGCTTTGTTGGCGGAAAAATGTAATATTCTCCGTTTGAAACTTACCCATATTGTTTTTCTCTCTCTCTCTGCTTCAGCTTTTTTTATTTCCTTGCTTTCACGATGTGCTCAACATCAGGGGCGGATCTAGGATTTTCTCGGGGGGGGGGGGGGGGCGGAAAATTTTGACGACCTTAGGTCGACCAAATTGATTTTTCGAGCTCTCCCAAATCAGTGTTTTCCCATTAATTTGGCAAAATTTTCTGCGCCGCAGGCAAATTTTTGAAAAAACAGTCAAAAAAGCCGTATTTGGGCACTTTTTGAAAAATTTTGACAAACAAATCGCGTTTTTTTTGGCGCGCGCTCCCCCTCAAAGTTAGTATATATTGGCGCCAAAGGCGCCTTTAGAAAAATTTTAGGGTCGGTCGGGCAAAAATGGATTTCCGAAAAAGTATCAAAGGGGGGACCCTTTGGGTCGGCAGGGGGTCAAATCCCTGAGGAAGGGGCGTCCCCCCCCCCCTAAATCCGCCCCTGCTCAACATATTAGGTAGAATTGTAACATAGTTTTTTTAGGTGCCTGAAATGTGTTATATTCGCAGACAATGGGAGTGATGACTTTCATTGCAGTGAAGCGAAACAACCAAAGCAAATAAAGATGGTGTTTTCATGGTGATTTTGTAATTTTTTTAGTCGATCCTGCACACTGATCTTTTTAGCAATGAAATATTTATAAACCATAGTGATAACATTTTGCTATATCCTCCTACGCACTCCTTGCTCGAGTATCTCCCACCTGTCAGCGTTAGTGGTGAGCAATATGGGTATTTTTTTGGGTTGTCTAACAAGATGTTATAAGAAAACCATTTCAATCAGCCAACATCTTTAAGCCACCCAAAAGTTTTGCGGTACGAATTTCGGCGTGGCGTACGAAATCCAAGTCGTGGCGTGGCGGTTAATTGATACAAAAAAAAATAAAGTTTTCTGCTTTAAAACTTTTTAAAACCACAGGTTGAGGTTTTCAGAACAATAAAATTGCCATACCTGTCTTTTTCGGAAAACAAAATCTATAAGGAAGAACAAAGAGAGCCCAATCAGTTGACTGCAGTTGAGATGGAAAAATGATGAAAGAAAAGAACGCTAGTAGATGCTATGGATTTGATAGAGACTTCGAAGACAAAAAATCGGTTCTTCTAATTGATTGCGCCAAATTCAAAGATGACATGAATTCGCACATGAAGGCAGAAACTGAGAATCTCATCTACAATTTTTGGTATCTAGAACACTCCAAGTACTACAAAGTACCCCGGAGAAACCATAAGAGCCGCCAATGACGGCTGTTCTCGTGACAATGGAGACATTTTTCAAACTTTCTGACGGTCGTTGCGAAAGGGGTCAGCCGTATATCATGCGCATTGTCATGAGGCGACCTTCGGTACCTCGTTCATTCATTGTCTTTTTGCAGCCGTGCTGCTCATTTCATTACCAGTTATGTTCAAGGCCACTGGCTTGGCCTATAATGAGTGCCACGCTGTGCGTGGTCACTCTGTTGTTTTGATACATCGATTGCTAGATGTAAATTATTCCTAAACTTTATTCAATGCTTTCTCTTAGTCAGAGTTTGACTAACAAATATTAAATTGGAACCAAGAATCTAAACAACTAATCAATCAATTCACTATTACGAACAACCAAGTTTTGTCCTCTAAATCTCGGCAAATGTCATGGCGCAGCCAGCAGTTCCTGTGAATGAAGACAGGACTGATCTGTTAGGTATTCCTCCT